AGGAATTGATACCATTGAATGGCCCCCACGCTCGCCTGACCTAAATCCAATAGAACACCTCTGGGACATTATGTTTCGGTCCATCCGACGCCGCCAGGTTGCACCTCAGACTGTCCAGGAGCTCAGTGATGCCCTGGTCCAGATCTGGGAGGAAATACCCCAGGACACCATCCGTCGTCTCATTAGGAGCATGCCCCGACATTGTCAGGCATGCATACAAGCACGTGGGGGTCATACAAACTACTGAGTACCATTTTGAGTTGCTGCAATGAAATTTCAGCAAAATGGACTAGCCTGCTGCATCATTTTTTCACTTTGATTTTCGGGGTGTCTTTGAATTCAGCCCTCTGTAGGTGGTTGATAATTTTCATTTCCATCAAACTATGTGGCATCCTTTCATTCCTAACGCATTATCCAGTCCATATCAGTATAGATATCCAGCATGATATTTTTCCCCATTGAGAACTGATGTGTTTTCAAAGTGTTCCTTTCATTTTTTTGAGCAGTGTATATACATATATATTGGTCTTTATAAAGCACTGTTGTGCAAATTGTGTCAACAGTTTTAAAACGTTAAACTCAGTAAGGACTAACACCTCTTAAAAACTGTAAAAACAAACAAACAAAGAAAACCAGTACACGTCATGCTAGATTTTATCTTGTCAGAGGGAAATGGAATAAATCAGAAAAAAGGAAAAGATTGTGAAAACTTATTTACATGAATCTTCACTTCTTTTTTTTTGTTCTGCCTCTTAAAATAACGTAAGCAGAGCAAAGCCATTGTATAAAAACATGATTGGGTCATCAAATAACAATTACTATTGAGAGAAAACCTACAGAGCCAATGTAACACTAAATATGTGAAAAGGGCATTTGACAATAATAGATTTTTTTCATGTTACAAAAGAAAGGACACATGATAATATTCTAGAGTAGACATATGAATCGTTGCTAGTCATTTTCACAAGATCCTCCACATACTTTTGTAGGCAGAAACATGGGAATAGAAAAATTAGACTGATTCTCAGCACCTTTGTTGACTGTACAATTAAAAACGTTGCAAATAAAACCCAAATGACAAAGAGATCCATGCCCTTTAATTGAAAGCCATAAAGTAACGCCCGCCAGTAAGTTCATTTTAGCAGTTCCCACTATGAAAATAGATTATGCAAATAGGACACTGCAGATTGGTTATTGCTCACAAGTTCAGATCCAACTCTACAAAAATCAATATAATTGTGTTTGTGCTTCCACTGGAAAGGTAGCCAGTGCAAAACTGCATCCACAATGACAAGATTTATTCTACTCACAGGTAGATTTTTATTTATCTTGTTATTCATTCATTAAACTTTTGGCTGTTGCCATGTTATCTGACATTTGTATGCTGTGTGTTTGAACTTTTTAAATGTTTTATCTTTCAGGCCTTTGCCTGTTATTTATTCAACTTGGTGAGTTTTCTCTATGCATTATTTCAGAAATCATTTCCTTGTTTTTACTTATCCAATCAACATACTGAAGCATTTTGTTTAATATTTAGGTTCAGCCTATCAGCTTATATGCTACTTCACCAACTGGGCCCAGCACAGACCTGATCCTGTGAAGCATTTGCCTGCCAACATTGATCCTTTCCTGTGCACACATCTGATCTACGCGTTCTCCATCATTAACTCTGCAAATCAGCTGGCCACTTACAAGTGGAACGATGAGACTCTCTACCAATCATTCAATAGTCTGAAGCAAAGGTGTAGTTTTCTTCTGTTGGGTAGATGATATTATATTCTGGGTTAAAACTGATTTTCTAATGTGAGATACTAATTCATTTAACAGTAATCCAAGCTTGAAGACACTTTTGGCTGTTGGAGGATGGAATTTTGGTTCAACTCAGTAAGTGTTTTTTTTTTCATGGTTCTGCTGTAAACCTGTTGAATCTCTACAAAAGTAAAAAGGTCAGAACTGCATTCTCTGTGTCCAGATTCTCTACCATGGTGTCCACACAAGCCAACAGAAATACATTCATCCAGTCCTCCATCAGCTTTCTCAGAAAGTATGGATTTGATGGCCTGGATCTAGACTGGGAGTATCCTGGAGCGAGCGGCAGTCCTCCAGAGGACAAGCAAAGGTTCACTCTGCTCTGTCAGGTCAGTACATCTCATCTTTATTCTGTATATTGCCATCATACACTACAGAGTTACACAAGTATCTAAAAGATTCAAGCTGTTCACTCTGAAGTATGAAAACCTGTGATTTGGTGCTGGCTTATGTTTGGGGACAAACAGGGAAAAATATAAAATAAGACAGGGAAAGGCGTCTCCTATCAATTTCTATCAATTGACATGATAAGAACGGATGTATGGAGGTTGTATTTACAATATCCTATTAATAAAAAAATATATTTTGTGTCTCATATTACCCCAGCTTAGAGGTATATTGAACCTAAATGATGGGAGAGTTAAGCCCCCTTTATTTGACCTATATAGTGGGGTCCAAATATCTGAGAGCACTAGTGAAAATACTTCTATTTTGCACTTCTTTTCTAATTTAATACAACAGTTTTCATTACAAATTATATTATTTACAACAACTTGAGTGAAAAGCAGAATCTTTGAAATATTTACATGAATTTCAGAGATTTTTAGTATTTGGTATGTTCCCTGTTTGCTTTAATGTCAGTGTGCACTTGAGCTGGATGGATTCCACAAGTTTCTGTGAAACCTTATGATCCATTTTAGATAAAATCCATCGGATTGTTGTCTGAACACATGCTTCAGTAGAAGAGATTAGGCATGAGGAAAATCTGGCCTTTTGTACAAAGCAGTTAACATGCTCAATATCACTCATTTGCTTACATTTAAATAAGGAACTAGAAATAGTGCACAATCTTGTATATTAAATAGTCAAGATATTGAACATTTACTTTCTTTGTTTTAAATATTTCAAAATTCTAAAACCTTCTGTTTATTTCCGATTTTAAATGAAAAAAATATATATCCCAGATTTTCAATGTGGTCTCAGAGTTTCGGACCACACTGTATGTTTCCAAGTAAAGAGCTGAGAAATAATTTGTTTCTATAATTAACCTTCTACCACATTGTTAACTCTATTGACTTTGTTAAACTAAGGGTGTGATTTTTTAACGTGGTAGTTAAACCAACTTGACAAGTTTAATAATAATATTTTAATGCGTTAAGAAAAAAAAAAAATATATAACAGCATTTCAAAAGCAAATGCAGTAAACTATTCTGGCTTTTGGATTCTCTTATAATTTCACTATAAATCCAACTATTTATTGGATTTATAGGATAATGATCAAGTACAGTAATAGTAGCTGTAGCTACTACTTTCTTGAAAAAGGCAAGTCCCACAGAAAAAAAAAACATTTTGTTGGCTTCACAATAGAAGAATAATTTCTACCAAACCTACCAAACAAACCTTTCACATAATGTAAACCCTTATTGAATCAATGTTTACATGCACATCAATATTCTGATATTGATCAGAATTTGGCAATATTCGAATTAGTATTGAGTCATGTAAATGCCGCAATCCAATTGCCCGATTGAGATTAAGACAATATTCTGATTCCCCAAATTCCGATTTCCACCCCTGGAATATGCCCGTTTTAATCGGAAATTTGTTGCATGTAAAGGAGATATATGTGCATGCTCAGTCCTCAAGGAATTGTGGGTGCTAACAGATGCTTAGCTGTAGGCTAGGTACTTAAGAATGGCAACTCAGGCACCCTTACAACAACCATGTAGTGAAGTGACATGTGGTCACTTCAAATTCCAATACTTGGAATTTGTGCTCTGCATTTAACCCATCCAAGTGCACACACACAGTAGTGAACACACACACACCCGGAGCAGTGGGCAGCCTTTTTTTTTTTTGCTGCGGCACCCGGGGAGCAGTTGGGGGTTTGGTGCCTTGCTGAAGGGTCTCACCTCAGTCGTGGTATTGAGGGTGGAAGAGTCATTCACTCCCCCCACCTACAATCCCTGCCAGGTCTGAGACTCGAACCCATGACCTTCGGGTTATAAGGCCGACTCTCTAACCATTAGGCCATTAGGAATATTCCGATGCCTGCACGCATATAAACATATATGCGTACAGGCATACATATAAACATCGTATTCAGAATATGGCTGCGACCTGAATATAGACCTTAAACAGAACTTGTTGTGCATGTAAACATAGCCAATGTTAAATGTGGCACCAACAAAATGGTTGAATAATCATGCATTAACAATGTATTTTCCTTAGTTCCTCATTTTTTTAAAAGTCTAGTTCCAGAGTATTGTAAATGTGGTTAATCACTGTATATTATTATTATTATTATTTATTTATTTATTTATTTATTTATTTATTTATTTTTTAATGCCCAACTAAAATGCTGTAACATAGTTCACAGCATTTCATTGGAGTAAGGTCAGAACTGGTTAGCCAGGTTTTTGATGTGGTGTGTAAGCTTGTTCATTATTATTACCTACCATTTTCCCCATTTGTTTCCCGCCAATCATAGCCTCATTGAAATGATGAATTCTTGCCTAATACTGTATATGGTCATATGACAATTGTATAAAATTTCCTAAATTATATTACTTACCATCTGAGTCTTTTTTCCTTGTTCTCTCATAATGGTGTGATAGAGTGTTAATAAATGTGTGTTTTTTGCCCTGTAGGAGCTCCGACAGGCCTATGAGGCTGAAAGCAGTGCTACAGGACATCCCCGGCTTATGGTCACAGCTGCAGTGGCTGCTGTGAAATCAACTATAGATGCTGGATATTAAATTGCTGAGATTGCCAAGTAGGTTATGTTAGATAAGCTGACCACACAATTGTTTTTTAGGCCCTGATAAATAAAAACTTAGAATTGAAGGGGGTGTGCTTTCTTTTTCCCATGACTGTATAAAATTATTGAGCCCATTTCCACACGTTAATTCAAGTTTGAAATTGTTTTGTTCTAGTCACAGATTTCTAGAAATAAATGCATGAAATAAGCAAAATTACCTGCCAATAGAAAAGATGATTTTAAGCGTGAAAATAGTAAAAGTAATAGAGGCAAAAAGAGGCAAGAAATAGGTTGGTAACAGTTTGGGGAAGTGCCACATATGGGTGTGAAGGTCATATTTTTAGTAATATAGTGTATTTTTGCAGTGCTGCTAACTGCTGTAGATAATATTTATGTCTGTATAAAGAACAAAAGGAAGAAATGTTTCAACTGAGATAAGATTTACAATGTCACTGAACTGGTTACTTTTTTAAATATACAGGTACCTGGACTTCATTAGCGTGATGACCTATGACTTTCATGGGTCTTGGGAAAGTTTCACTGGACACAACAGTCATCTGTATCAATGGTCTCAGGAAACAGGAGCTCAAATCTACCTTAATACTGTAAAGACAAACTTTCTACAAGTTCACTTACACCTGAGCTTGGTAATCAGAGATGCACTACAACATTTCGTTTCTGATTTTGCAGAATTACTCGATGACATACTGGAAGAATCAGGGTGCTCCAGTGGAGAAGCTGAGGATGGGTTTTGCTACATATGGCAGAACGTTCCAACTGTCATCTACAGCGAGTGGCCTGGGAGCTCCATCAAGTGGCCCTGGTTCTGCTGGCACCTACACCAGAGAGCCAGGCTTCTGGTCTTATTATGAGGTTTGTACACAGCTTACTGTACATGAACCACACAAACTTCACTGTGTTGTTCTATATGATAGTTGATGAACAAGCAATAAACGGTTATTTCCCATCAGGTCTGCAGCTTCCTTCAAGGAACCAGTGTACAGTGGATCCAGGATCAAAAAGTACCGTATGCCACAAAAGGGGGTCAGTGGGTTGGCTTTGACAACAAGGAGAGCTTTGACACAAAGGTATGCAATCTGAGTTGTGACATTTCAGTTGTGAGGTCAAATGTCAATTTGTTAGTAAACACATGTACTTACACATCAACTTACACATTCTAAGTTAAACTTAAGAAGAATCTACACAGACCTACACATGGGCTAACGATTCCACCAGGACATTGTACTGCGCGTACATGCCATATTAAATGTGCAAATGTGTGATCTGATACATGTAATAACTTATTCAGAAAGTGGGGCGGGGGGGGGGGGGGGGGGGGGGGGTAATGAAGCAACAGCAGCTACCTAATTTCTATACAGAGCCTAGAGAGACTTTTTCTGTTTTAGGTGACCTACCTCAAAGATAATAAGTTTGGAGGGGCCATTGTGTGGGCTCTTGATTTGGATGATTTTACTGGACAGTTCTGTGGACTGGGAAAATACCCTCTCATCAACGAGCTCAAGAAACTGCTAAGCAATGGCAATAAAATTAATTACAGTGTATTATCACTTCTAATACTGTTGATTATAATATGAATTCTCCTGAGTTTACAACCTCATCTGCTCCTCCTATGACTCCTCCTGTTGCAGTTCCTATTACACATCCTGCTGAAGCTCCTCCTGCTCCTCTTCCTGCTACAGTCCCACAGTGGTATTGTGCAGCCAAGAAAGATTGTATCTATACAAATCCTTTTGATAATAAATATTTCATCCATTGTGCTGCTGGCAGAAAATGTGTAAAACCCTGCCCTGCTGGCACTACCTACAATGAGAGCTGCCAGTGCTGCAGCTAGCAATAAAACTGCCACAAGATGTTAGTGAACACATGATGTAGACATGATTTAAAATACATTAACAACAGATTAGCAAAATGTCTGAACAGTTGTCTGAACATGGCTTCATTGGCTTGATACTTACAAATATTATATTTCTCTATCTTTAAAAATATTGCATAGATAATTTATCTATCTAAGTGCTAACTTTATTATCATTAATCTTTACTAATAGGATTTAATTATGATTGGTATTTTTTAATTTTTAATTTTATATAGTATGGGCTCTAAAAACATTATATACTAGACACTCCCACAAGTTAAAATGCTCTTTACTGTCAGCTGTATTTTTCCAGATTTAGCAATATGCATGGTAAATAAACATAATAAACCACACTTTTATTCCTATGATCAAACCCAAAGGCTTACACTATTTATTAATTCAGCTTGAATGCCAGCTTCATATACCAACAAATTCATAAACTGCTTCTTTAAAAAAACACTCATCCAGTTATAGCTGGAGAGCTAAGGAGTTGGAGGTGTTGGAGAAGAATCAGATATGACTGAATCTGAAGCTGGATCTGTGGCACATATAAGCACATGCAGGAGTTGCTAGTTTCCCTAATTCATAGCAGTGCAAGGCCAAACAATCTCCAAAAATCTTTGAGCATTTTACTCAGTAGCTTTGATTCTTCAAAAGTCCAGGTTAATGGAATGACACTTCATGTGCCAAGGCACATCAACAGCATGCCAAATAATCTCTGTATAGTGTCACATTCTGAAATGTTTCTTTCTCTCCTTCATTAAAATATCAAAAGCATAGTGGCAGAATACTGTCACAATATGTATAAAGTTGTGTTAAAGCACAAAATGCATGGATTCAGGCTGTGAATTCAGACATCATCCTGCATAGTATGTTCATCAACACAGTTTATTTGCAAATACACAGCAACTATTTGCTCCTGTGTTTGAAGTCATAATCAGTCACATTTTTTTGAAATGGGGATAATAAAGAAATATCACATTATATCATATAAACTGGAATTGGTATGTCAGCACCATGATCATCAATATTAAGCAGCAGAGCTCATGTTATTTCTAGTATCATCATCTCTACCAATACTGATTACCTCATCTAAAAATTGTTAATAATGACTGAAGACTAAATTAAGGACAATTCCAACTTCATCTCATTTGCATTAGCACTGTATGATTTTAGTATGAGTTCATACAAGTCAGTCTCCACTACTGTTACTATAACATACAATTTGAATGGGACTCATGTACATCACATTGCTGGAAAGCTACCTTTTTGTCAAAATATGTATAGCAGGCTAAACACCAGATAATGTAAAGAGACAAGGTTCAGTTCTCATGATTCTTTGGGAACTGTAATCTACCTAGGAAGTTTCATAAACCAAACACACTCCTGTACAGTCCAGTTACATAGAATGTAAGATGTAATGGATGTAAGGGAATAAAATTACATTATTCAGATTGAACAGAAAACAAATGAAACAATTATGAATAAAGATTTGAACAATAGGCAGAGTATTCTGTTGCTGTTTTTTTTTTTCTCTCTCTTTAAAAAAAAGCTTGCCAAAAGCTTTACAGTAAGTGTGGATCCTGCAGGATGAAAAAAAAAAAACATGTGAGTATGATGTTTTTACTTTCATGTGGAGCTTTAATGGACAACCACACAAAGACCTGAAACTAACCCAAAAAAGGTAGACATGTTTTTCTTCTTTTTCTCAGTCTTTTCATGGGAAACAAGTTAATAGTGCTGCACATTTCTGAATTGCAGTTTACAGTCCCCTCCGAAAGTATTGGAAATTGCAAGGTCAATTCTTTTGTTTTTGCTATACACTGAAGACATTTGAGTTTGAGATCAAAAGATGAATATGAGATTATAGATCAGAATTTCAGCTTTCATTTTCTGATAGATGTGTGAAACAACTTAGAACATGGCACTGTTGATGGCAGACCACCCAATTTTTAGGTGAGCAAAAGTATAGGAACAGATAGACTTAAAGTAAATTAAAGTAAATGACACTTAATGTTTGGTTGCATATCCCTTGCTTGCAATAACTGAATCAAGCTGGCAACCTACTGACATCAAACTGTGGCATTCTTCTTTTGTGATGCTTTTCCTGGCTTGTACCACAGCTTCTTTCAGTTGTTGTTTGTTTTGGGGGGTTTCCTCCCTTCAGTCTCCTCTTCAGGAAGTGAAATGCATGCTCAATTCGGTTAAGGTCTGGTGATTGACTTGGCCAGTCTAAAACCTTCCACTTATGAAATCCTTTGTTCCTCCCAATTAGATTGGATGTATTTCTCTGTAACTTGGCAGACAGAATGTTCCTGTAGACTTCTGAATTAATTCTGCTGCTACTATCATGAATTAAATCATCAATAAAGATTAGTGAGCCCATTCCAGAAGCACCAATGCAA